TGCACAACTGAACAGAAAATATATAGCAAGTTTGTTTTTCAGATATACCGAGGATGGAGACAAAAAGGAAAAGTCCTGTGTAAATGTCACGGATATGATATCATCAGATATTTATCACAACAACACTACGTTTGCGCTTTATCTAAAATGCAATTTAAATGATCGTATTTTATATTTTTACAATCATGTAATGATTAAAAGAAATGTTGACAATTTTACAGACGCCATTCAAATTCCGATGTTATATGAAATGTGTGGAGCAGTACTTACTAATATGGTAACTTGGGCAATGTGCACACGTCGTAGCGCAATAACCCGTTGCGGATGTTTCATTTATTCGAATACACGGAGCAGCAGCACCGCAGTTTGAAACATGCACGAAGTTATCGGAACATTGGATGTATTGACCACAACTGTAAGGATGATACAGGAATGCTCCATTACTTTTCCCATTACACAAGTTTCCTGTAAATTGTGAAAAGTTACATATTACGTGGCATATGCATTAAAAAAAATCAGAATCAACAATCTTTAATCGAATTTATGATCTTGAAAAGAAAATAAATCGTTGTTGAAACCCACTTAGCCAAGTAAGGAAACAGTAATTCACTATTCCTAATAGAAAATATTTTCCCTACTTCACCTTGCTTACCCACGTTCTGTTTGACGTCCAGTACCTATTGAAGTCCTACAATGTCTTAACGCTATGACGCACACATGATTAAATTGCCTTACAGAGATGAATGACCTTGACACTTTAAATTTGCACTAAAAAATCATTACGGTAAAGTGTGCACGATAGAGTCGGGAGGTTGGTGTCGTTACACGTATATGGACAAACGCTGAAGGGTTTGTGTTATTAAACTGCTACGTTATATAACATATGAATGTTCTGAACAACTTATTTTTATAAGTGGCATCATAGTTACTGTTGAAATCATATTTCTTGTCCTAGATGCTTTTATTTCGCAACAAAGGTTTTCTAAACTTTCTCGTCCTTACGTTGACTTTGAATTGTATATTAACGGACGTTAATTTACATATTTACGAATGATATATTAAATGTTGACGCTGACATTTACCTGAATATATTTATAGAATTTACTTGGAGGCATATACTACTTGGTCCCTAATAAAGCGCCCTCTTCGTAATATATTTAAATTGTCAGTTCAAAATAGCAATTTAGATAATCAAATTGACACTATATATTGAGAATAATTACTGAAACATCATCTAGTTAGTCCATAAGCATACTTACCATCAATAACCAAAAGCCTTTCTTCTGCCGAGAAAAGAGTACTAGCAGCATCTGGATGACTTGTTGTGCATCTAATATATGACCCGTTTACAGCCATGGTTGGGGTTCCGCTATATGATGCCTCTTTTGTAACTGCGCAATCGCCATCTGTAGATGATTCCGTTTTTGTAAATTCTGTGAAGTTAACAAATGAACTCGATCCATCGTACTTTATCTGCAGATAAATAATTCCGGATGGGTAGCCGGTTTCTCCTGAACATTTGATATCAGGATAAAGAGCAAGTCCGGTAGCAACACGAGTTGCCGGAGTTAACGTTGGGTTGGTTTTCGGTGTATCTGGGGGGAGACATTAAAACATGTATTGGATCACATCACTTACAAACTACATTTCAATGATCATTGTTCCAGACACATTTTACTATAGAAATATTGGTTAAAGTTTCTGGCAATACCTTCACACTTTAAGTCTTTATGGAAAGTAAGCATCGTAACAAATGTAAACAATGACGTTATGCTGCATAGGAAGCGACTCGGTATAATAATTTCCAATTAACAGTGACTGTATAATGCATTTTCAGACTTTACAGTATTTGTGTTACTCATCAATGTATTGACTCGTATATTATATTCAGAAGCACTTTTTTGGTTTTGTCAACATTTAAATGCTTATCTATACAGCATAACGTTACAAAGTCGAGTCACTTGGCGCTATGTTTAAAACCGGCTGCAATTAACAAACTTGAGATCAAATGCGTTTTAACGAAGTAACAGTTCAATCAAAATTCAAGTAATTATTTAAGAATAACCTTCTTTCTATAGGGTTCTATATGAAAAGATTCACGCCTCAGAAATACAGCCTGTGGTTTCCGCATTTTAATATTTACCCCGAAAGGAAGCAGGTTTGCAGAACTTTTTCATATTTTTGAAACCAACAATACAATACGCTTGCCTGATGTAACGTGTATTTATAACGTCAAACATCGAATCCATTTCATTTGAGACTGTTTTAAGGGTGCAATATTAACCATGATGCAACATGGCTTTGATTTATGGAATTACGAACATTGAAACCAGAATCCCATATATATTTAAAACTATATTGGAAAGTTATTTTACCGGGTAATAAATTAGATAATAAACTGCCAGCAGACTATGTTATGAGATTGACGTACCAATTACAACTGCACTGTTTGGCAAACAAACTCAAGAATTAATATACTACTGAAAGTAATTGACAATTAAGACATTGTGCTCGACAAACATATTATGCCCAGCGCAATTCAACTTAATATACTTTTCAAAATATTCATATTACCTCTAACGCTGACTGACGCAGTTGTAGATGAGTCCCCGGATATCGCAAACAGATTAAAATGAAAAACACCCTCATCACTACAGGCCAACGATGTTAAAGCAATGGTGATGTTTTTCCCAGCATTGAGGACTGTCACATCCCTGTTTGCACCGCTGTTGTCGTTGACCACACCGTTGGTAGGGTGAATATCGACAACATGGCTTGACGTCTGGGTTTTGCTCGGGGTGAAGGTCACATTGATATANAAAAATAATTACAACGAACAGTGTTTTTTTCTCTCTCAAAATAAACCATACTTATGAATATACAGCCGTCATATTGTAGAGTTTAACATATAAATTCGGTATAAACTAACTGGATCTGGTACCTTCAACTCTTATCATCATCAAATGTATTTCGAGAAATTAGTTATTTGAAAGTGTCTCAGATTATAGTGTTCTATAATTAATCTGCGAGTATACAGTATTTAACGCAAATTCTTCACGAATTGAAATTAAGTCTCAATTTCTTTATCAAAAACATTGAGATTCGCCAAGAAGATGATGAAAATGTTATTTGAAATAATGTATTGTTGATATTAAATCACCTTTAATAACACACACTAAACGTAAAAGAGTGCACTGCTCTTGGTGCTTTTCTTCAAATTATTATTTGGAAATCTAACCAAATAGGCCGTTGAGTACCACTTACGGTTTGAACGATGATAAACACTGAACTTGTAAGTAAAGCAATTCTGATAATGTAATGGGAATATAAGGATTAACGTCATATCACTATAAGGTAACCGTTCAAAATCACAAAATTAAAATAAATTTATGATATAAAATGCCGAGCAAATATAAAGCGCTTTGAGAATAGTCTCAAAATCACAAAGTAAATATATAAGGAGGCAGTACCCAAATCGGATCAGTACCCAAATCGGATCACTGTTTGCAAAAATACTTATAAATAAATAAATGTGTTAACAAATCAGTTATAACAATGATGTAGTCTTAGAATAGAAAGCCATGCGCCATTTGTTGTCTACAGATGATTAGTTTTTAAGTTCAAATAGCACAAGAAAACGTAATTCAAACTCAAATGTCAGTGTTTTGATCACATTTTTAAAAAAATGGCGCGTGCAACGACTATGCATTCTGTTTTGGACTATAGGAATAAATTCACACTATAGAAATACTTTTTGTCATATAAATTCTAAAGGTCATCATAAAATGTTAACATGCTGACAACAAAATATTCATTTGAAGCGCAAGATACTGCAACATTCAAGCATTGATCCGATTTGGGTCCTGACATTCGCAAAAACCGGAGACGCTGATTGGTGACTTCAGAGCGTTCTATAAATATCTCAAGTGAGCCCCGGGTGCTAATTTCGTTTGTAAGAACACCCATCGATATTCTTCCTTTGATACAATCATAAATGAATATTAGTTTTTTTAATGATTTAATAAAATGATGGTTTGGTGATCCGATTTGGGTACTGTCACCTTATATATGATATAAAATACCAAAAAAATATAAAGCGTTTTGAGAATAGTCTCTGAAATCTTACTACTTAAAATGCATCAAATTTTAAAGAAATTAATTAATTCACATTCAGTAAAATAATTAAAAAAATAATCTATTTATCCAATTTCGAAAAGCCTGATAAAACTTACAAAGTTATTATAAGGCGTTTGTAGCATGTAGTACTATGATCAGTTAGCTGCGTTTTTTAGAAATCAGTCAGTAATACCATCATATACTAAGAACATAAGCTTTTATGTACACTTTTGCTAAGTTGATTAAAATGCNAGCAGTTGAGTACCACTTACGGTTTGAACGATGATAAACACTGAACTTGTAAGTAAAGCAATTCTGATAATGTAATGGGAATATATGGATTCACGTCATATCACTATAAGGTAGTCGTTCAAAATCATAAAGTTAATACATATGTATGATATAAAATGCCGTGAAAATATAAAGCGCTTTGAGAAAAGTCTAACGAAATTAGTTATTTCACGTTCAGTGAAATAATAAAAAAAAATGTATTTATCCAATTTCGAAAAGCCTGATAAAACTTACAAAGTTATTATAAGGCGTTTGTAGCATGTAGTACTATGATCAGTTAGCTGCGTTTTGAAGACAGCAGTCAGTAATACCATCATATACTCAGAACAGAAGCTTTTATGTACACTTTTGCTAAGTTGATTAAAATGCTTTGTTACTCACTGATTTAGTACTCTTAAAGCTACAGTTCCGAGTAAATCTAGGTGTAATTCGAAAGTAACTTATTCCGTTATAAACGACTGACTTAACAAGAAAAACAGCGAAACCAAGGAATACCTATGCTTTTTCATAATATTGTCATAATAGAAGAAGCGATGTACCTTTCTATTTTAATTTGTATGTCGCATGAACTGTATTTTTGTTAAATTACTTACATACATCTGGTGGTGGCGTTGTTGTAGCTTGTGTGGTAGTGGTAGCTATAACAGAAAACATGTATGTTAGATATCAGGAGAAAGAGCTCTTTTCAAATTGATGACTAAATGATCAAATTGACCAGATACATTTTTTAAGGTAAATACACCCTGTATTTATACTCGGCGTTCATAATACGCAGCGATGGCAATGTTTACATAATCGCAATTAGTTGCTATGTATTTGCCATTACTTATGAGAATGTTCTGTCAATATTCCATATTTTATCTTATTGACTGGTAACTCCTGGTTGTATGGAATGACAAGCGACTAGTATAACCATCATTTGATTAGTATCGCTGTGTTAGAGGTTTAAGGCTTGAGGATGAATTATCAGTTAAGTGACTGTCTTTGTAATAGTATATGTTCAGCCGACAACTAAGCATATTCAATACTAATGGATACAACAAAATATTTGTTTTACTCACTTGTTGTTGGTATGATAGTACAAGGATAAGTCTGACAGTCACCACATAGGGGGGCCACAGACAGACCAGTATAGCACTGCTCTCCACAACCACCGCCAAAGGATAGGTTATTGGAACACTGAACATACTTGTTACAGCTATATGGGTTTGCTTTAAACGTATTTGCAGTTTCACCAATGCAAAAATCAGCTGAAAAATAATAATCATGTATTTGACTTCGATCGAACCCTTAGAGAAAAATATGTATTACTGTTTGAGTATTAATTTGAAACTAGACTTTTATTCTATATTATCAAGTAATGAACAATGATTTATAGTGGGACCTTCTATTTATTTTGAAGTCTAAATGTATACTCACCAGGTATCAGATATAAGATAGCGGTATCATTTTGTTCTACATCACCATCCTCAAGAACACCACTATTATTGGCCCTGCATGTAATGGTACCGTTTCGCCATTCAGTTCCTAGTTTAAGTCCAAATTCTAGCCTAGCCTTGTTGTTACATTTTTCAGTGGTCATAGTATTTCCACCCGGTCTGGATCCATCATAGTCTGCTAATGGTACGGAATAAACATTGGGATCTCCTTGCTTAGTCATTGTGACCTCCAGTTGACCTCCGGGATATCCTACGAATCCTTCACACACGTGTTCAGCTCCAGCTCGATCAGTATTTATCACAAAATCTGCATGTAGTGTCATGGATACCGATTTTGGCTTAGCTAAAATACAAAGGAAAACATGTATATTGTAGTTTTAACAACACATATCTAACTATAACAGAAAGGCCTTTTTCCAATTGATGGAAATGTTGTAAATTGATTTTTTTTATTTTGCTGTAAAATTATTTTTAAAATAGTATAATTCTTATGACTTATGTTTATAGGCACGACTATTCAGCAAACATTTATGTCTGTTCCCTACCCCATATGTTAAGTGTTACTGCCTGTGATTCGGTGCTTCCTCCAGTTTTCTGAATGAATAAAGTAAAAAGTCCGCCATCATCACATTCTACACTTTCGTATGTAATTTGGAGGGACGATTGACTAAAAACGACATGCTCCCCCGTATGCAAGTTTCTGTTAATCACATTCCCAAAGGAAGTCACATCTGCTAGGTTCCTTGTCGCCTTGGTAACGTTGATGTAGTCAAACGCTACTGTCATGTTGCAGGTAAGAGTCGCAGATTTCCCTATGAATGCCGTCTCATCGGTACAGTCGATAACTGTTAAGACATACAATTAAAAACAAGTACATACAATGCTTTATCATTACATATTATATCTCAACATTATAGACAATGCTTCAATAGCGATTTATAATTGTTTGATAATTTTTATTAAGCATTTAAAAAGTATTCAGTCGGTTTACATTTTATAATAAGATAAAACTTATTTGATATAATTTTATAACGGAAGATAACTGTTAAACATAAGTCAGTGAATTGGCGGTGCTACTACTGCATCTACGTTCATAACCATGTGAACATGTCTTCATATTTTACCACGATAATGAGCGGAAATAAGAAGTAATATACAGCAAAAAGGAAATTAATATCACTGTTGCTGATGTAATTAGTTGCCATATGCACGAGAAATCTCATTTTGAGAAGTATTATTCGAAATTGTTTGTATACACTGGAAACATGGAAGAGAGCAGTGACTATAGTCTCGCGAACACAGGTCAAGCATTACCCTATTACGACACTTATAAACATGTATTACTACTCGATGAGACTTCTCCACGATTAAAACATCTTCAATTTTCTGGTTAAAATAGGCTTATAGGCGTACAGCAATCACAAAACTGATATACAAATCAAGAAAAATAGGAAAGAAAAAAGTGTCGGATAAGAAACTTCTAAACGAAAGCAAAACATTATTCTTTTCTCATAATATTAAAAAAGAATATGTCGCAGAGAAATACTTAAGTATTAACAGCAGCAAATTAAGAAAAAATATGTTTCTTAGATATTTTCATAAGACATTTTTAACAGATTGCAAGAGATCAGAGACTCTTTTAAAAATGTTGTGTAAAAGAAAATGAAGTTCCCTCCTTTTCCATTATTCTCTGCTATAACCTGAACGAGCAGAATATTTTCAACATTTATACTTTATCGGAATAATGTCACATCAAATACCAAGGAATTGACATGTTACCTACAGATAATATATAATATGGACTCTTGCTTATTCACAACTTATTCATGACTTGTTCAGAGTTTACATAGATTTTGCTTTTAAGAAAATTCATATAATATTTTAAGTAATGTCTGACCGTGACTGTGTTTACTAAAAAACAAAGGCGTGACATTGCTGTTTTATATGTTCATGTATAGCTATTGAATTATGCTTAAAAAATAGGCTAGTAACCAATTATAAATGAAATGACAGAATACTTAGTTATACACTACGAAAATGCAGCAGTTGATATCACAATAATTTTCCTGATAATTCAATTCCAGGTGAATGTGCCGGCCTTGATAATGCGTTTGATTATTCCTTGCGGTAATTGATATGTTTCATTGAATACCAACATAAAATCTGAGATCAGTAGCAATGGTAGAAATTAAACCATGCCTTAACATTGCAGGACATTATCAGACGTCAAATTCAAAATACTCAAGGACAATATCATTTCTCAAAGTCCACGCGCCAGGACAATATCATATCTTAAAGTCAGCACTCTAGGACAATATCATATCTCAAAGTAAACACTCCAGGACAATATCATATATCAAAGTCGACACCAGGACAATATCATATCTCAAAGTCAACACTCCAGGACAATATCATATCTCAAAGTCAACACACTAGGACTGTTTCATATGTCAAAGTCGACACCAGGACAATATCATATATCAAAGTCAACACTCCGGGACAATATCATATCTCAAAGTCAACACACTAGGACTGTTTCTTATGTCAAAGTCGACACCAGGACAATAGCATATATCAAAGTAAACACTCCAGGACAATATCATATCTCAAAGTCAGCACTCCAGGACAATATCATATATCAAAGTAAACACTCCAGGACAATAGCATATATCAAAGTCGACACCAGGACAATATCATATCTCAACGTAAACACTCCAGGACAATATCATATCTCAAAGTAAACACTCCAGGACAATATCATATCTCAAAGTAAACACTCCATGACAATATCATATCTCAAAGTCAACACTCCAGGACAATAACATATCTCAAAGTCAACACTCCAGGACAATATCATATCTCAAAGTCGACACCACAGGACAATATCATATCTCAAAGTAAACACTCCAGGACAATATCCTATCTCAAAGTCAACACTCCAGGACAATATCATATCTCAAAGTCAACACACTAGGACTGACTCATATGTCAAAGTCGACACCAGGACAATATCATATATCAACGTCAACACTCCAGGACAATATCATATATCAAAGAAAACACTCCAGGACAATATCATATATCAAAGTCGACACCAGGACAATATCATATCTCACAGTAAACACTCCAGGACAATATCATATCTCAAAGTCAACACACTAAGACTGTTTTATATGTCAAAGTCGACACCAGGACAATATCATATCTCACAGTAAACACTCCAGGACAATATCATATCTCAAAGTCAACAAACTAAGACTGTTTTATATGTGAAAGTCGACACCAGGACAATATCATATCTCAAAGTCAACACTCCAGGACAATATCATATATCAAAGTCAACACTCCAGGACAATATCATATCTCAAAGTCAACACTCCAGGACAATATCATATCTCAAAGTCAACAAACTAAGACTGTTTTATATGTCAAAGTCGACACCAGGACAATATCATATCTCAAAGTAAACACTCCAGGACAATATCATATCTCAAAGTCAACACTCCAGGACAATATCATATCTCAAAGTCAACACTCTAGGACAATATCGTATCTCAAGGTCAACACAGTAGACAATAATAGAATATCTCACCCCTTAGTGGGGTGAGATAGGGGAATCTCAACCAGAGGGTGAAGATTCTGATGTTTTGCAACTTATGAATCTTTCCCGGAGGGTTGAGATTCCCCTATCTTACCCACAAGGGGGTAAATGATTCTTTTTCTCTTACCCTGTTTTCCCAATGTGTATCATATACACAATGTAAAGATAACGTTACATGCTACATTCAGGGTTGAGGTGACGTTGATGGATTGTTGACGTGACGTCATTGTATTTGTGAAGTAACGTCATACCATTGTTATGAATAGGGGAATCCCCCCATCTCAACCCTAGGGTGAGACAAGGAAATCTCACACCGGTAAAAGTGCGGATATACCTGTCCAGGGTAAGAGAATATCATATCTCAAAGTCAACAAGCCAGGATACGTTGTTTCAAAGTCATAAATAGGGACAGTATTTATACAACGTCGACATATGAAGACAAAATATATACTGCAACCTCGACTTAAATCGCGAACAGTGTATCTTATAGCTGATGGGAATTGGAACACTCTATGTAATAATACAATATCAGATGTAGACAAAACGTTTCTATTATAGTTATTACTGATGCTCAGAAGACCTGGTATACTACTTTGCCTAAAGATTGGGAAACATTTACATACACATATAAAGCAATTAACAGCAACATGTTTAATTTATTTGTAACCTTTGTTTCCCATAATGTAAGGTATTTGGTGGGACTGAATATCCAAATATCAACAGTGGATGGCCCTGCGTGATGTAATGGACTCTCATTTGGCCTGTACCTGGTGAATGGGGCAATTCAATACCATGAAATGTTTAAAACTGAATTTTCCTTTATAAATGGATACCCTTTTTTTATCTTCATACCGTAAACATATAAATAGCCAAACCAAACTGAAAGATTAAAGTTTAAAACAGTGTATCATTAAGGGAAGACAAGTCAGTGATTAATTTATCAAATACAGGGTTAAGGACTTGTTTTCTTTACTTAATTAATATCATGATTTGAAATTGTCAACTCATGTGAATGTGTGTGTTTTAATGCGATCGAAGAAAATGTAGTATTGATTGCCATTATTTAGGGTAGATGCTGGGATGAATATCTTGAAATATAGTCTCGGCGACGTGTTATGTTTAGTGGCGTTAATATAAGTACGTTCAATGGAAGAATACATACACTGGGATGTCGGAGGTGGTGTCGTTGTTGTCGTTGGTCCGTGTGTTGTAGCTATAGAATAAAAAAAAACAAGTACCCTAAAACATGTATTAGTGAATTTATAAAACTAAAACCACAGAAAAACAAACAAAAATGAAAGATAAAGAAACAAAACGTAGAACGTTCTGACATTGATGGAGCAGTATTATTTCTGTTTAAATATTGATATTGTGCTGTTCACTGGTGTTGCTCTGTTAGTATATAATGATATTAATTGTTTTGTAATTAACTTCTAACGATGATAAGTATTTTTGTGTAATATTTTTGTTTGGGTCATATGTACACATTAATACATACGAACTGCTAATAATTGTCTAATACAATTAGTAATAATATAGCGTTCTGGTAATAATTTGTACTAGGTAATAAATAATGACTCTTACTTGTAATGTTCCATGGGCAAATAACTCCATCACACACACCACATATTACAAGCGATGGTCCGATGTCGGCACAATCGTTTGGATTGATACACTGTGAGCCATATGGATACTTGTTTATACACTCTACATACTTATTACAGTTTGTTGGGTGGTGTAAAAACTTCGGGGCGCTGGTTGTGTTACAGTGTTGTCCTACAAATACACAAGTTATAATACTTACATAAGGTTTCAACAAATTCTATATTTTAAGGTGACAAAAAGATAAGGAAATACGTTTACCTATCTACTCTGAAATATGTACTTTGCATCTAACAAGTTAATATTGAGAGATGCACATTAGTCAGATTACATTCCCATTAAATATGTCGTATACATGTAATTTGCGAAACGACCAATACGACACAAAATCGCACAAAATTATAGATTGAAAATGATGTAATAGACACTGGCATTTTTGTATATAATTTTCGCATAGAATACCAATAAAATATATAATAAAGATGCTGACATTCTTTATATCATATTCGCATGATATATTATTACAGAGCAGTTGACACCGTCTGGAATTTGTTAATGTTTTGAAAGGGAAAAAGAAAAAGCTAATATTCTAGCACCTTAGAGTTAACAGTAAATCATGTAAAAACCACCTGATTGAAATAATAAAAGATAAGTAAAGAAATAACTGTCAACATATATATTTCATTATGTAGAAAACCATTGATTTGGTAATCTTAAAAAGTACTTAGTCAAAACTTTGTCATTTATATTTTAAACGCATTTTAATTTGTAACGATTTTAACGACGTGAAGATAAAATAAGAATACGTACGAGGGATAAGTTCTAGCGTTCCAACGTCCGATTCGGTGGTAACGCCTAATTCCTGGTTGGTAGCAACGCACTTCACCTCTCCACTGTCGTCTGCCGACGTGAAGTTGAGACCAAACTTGAAATATTTAGTTGTTCCACAACTAGTCATAGAAGTGTTTGTCAGATATTGAATAATTCTGTCGCTCATGAATGGTTCGAACGTCGATTGTCCTTTCATCTTGTAAACAACTGTCAAATTCCCTGGAGGAAAACCAACTTCTGCCAGACACTGGTGTTCAAAGCCACCCCTATGGAACATTAGATCTTGAATCTGATCCGGATTTAACGTCAGTTTTGGAGTGCCGGGGTTTCCTAAAAAAGCATAGATCTATACAAACAAAAAAAACAACACGGCAAGTAAAGTTGATTATTGCTAATATTTTCAGGTCTTGCGGCCATCTTCAGGCTACATGTGTATGTCTTTAAAGAAAATAAAAGCGTTAGAAACAATACTTTTTCCCTTCTTTATATTTCTATATATTTAAATGTTACACAAAGTCTTGAACTAAATATACCGTGAGGTATTATACAATATTCATAATTTCGTCTCGTTAAAAACTTGACCTTACTGAATATTTCAAACGTCATGTTGGTGGTGAGAGGACTTGTTTGTCCAGTAGCTGTACACGTGTATACCCCACGATCCTGACAGCTCAAAGTTGAAAGTGTTATGGTAACAGACACCGACGAATCATCTTCTGTGATGGCATAAGATGCCCGAGGAGACAGAGGTTTGTTAGAAGTGTTGCCTTTGACCAGGCTAAAGACAGATGTTATCGCTGTGGACCCTGTAGTTATCCTCGTTACCATCATGTTTGTCCAGCCGGGCGCGTTCCGGACATTGCATCCAATAACAATACCGGAGCTCCCAACTTCCTCCCTCCTATTATAGGCGTTAAATGCAATATCTGAAAAGAAAATATTTTATCAGCTAGATATATATTTTTGATTAAATGTGATATTTAAAGGCTTCTATCATTTGCATATGTTTTTTTTTATTTTTCACAAATGCCTCTATTAGGTTTTCTCATTCTTAAAGCGTGATAATAATGAGCGCCCTACAGATTCGGAAAAATAATACGCCCACTGTATCTAACTCATTGTCACAAGCGCCGACAACTGTGAGGCCCCCAGTATAATTGTAGATGTCTGGGTCTCCTACATAGGGAACGTCGAAGAAACCGAAACTGATCTGCTGTCCCTACTACAACACGTTAAATCTAGGTCTTTTATTTTCCCACCTCTCTACCCTGTCTTTCTTGTGGTGTCTCCCTAGATATCCATCTTCATATGACCTTGGTAGTTGCGAAAACGTTAAAGCACAACGCACAAATATGAATCATGATTGTCGTGTCGACAAAAAAAATCTGGATACAAAGTTTCCCTGATACTAGCATTTTTATGGGAGAGAAGGATTGAATTTCATGTTATCATTTATGCTTTGTTAATGAAGTTCATTAAGGTTAAAAATATCGCTGTATTACGTACTTGAGATACTTGTCATGTTTCTAGTTTTAATTAATTCACTATCTTTATGTATAAGGAGAGTATTTAATGCCCGCTCGAAATTCCACGTGGGTGAAGGTAAAATATTGAAACATCCTGAGACACTTAGCCGGAAACGATTAGATATTCTATTTATTAATACTTGTGACTCTCAAAGCATCGGTATTGTGTAAGTTTGTATGCATAGTCTGGCTGCGATACCAGGAGAAATGTACAACAAAAAACAATGGATTTTTTTTTCTTGGATGTAAATCATTTGCATAATATCATTTTTACGTTCATAAATATAAGTCTTGCATATTTATAACAATAATAATAAAATGATACGTTAAAATTGCGCTTCTATTACGTTCATGTTTTCTTTCGTAAGACAAGTTATTCGACTGTCAGTAAAAATGAGTTGTGCTTACAGGTGTTTTCCATTATACTTAAGACATCAGATAACCAGAATGTGCCTACCAGCTTGATGCACGATAATCAATGCCGTAGAAGAGCTAACAGGTGACCCCGACAGTGCTGAGTTGTTCGCCACACATTTAGCCTCGGTTCCATTAAACTGTAAACTCGGAGTAAACGTGTATTGCACAGTTCGTGTTACTGTACAGTTTGACGTCACAGCCCCGTCAGTTACAGTCGGAGTGACGACATCGTATTCTGTGAACTTTGACCCTCCGGGTGCCTTGGTGTACAAAGATAGACTTCCTGTTCCGACTGGTAGTTCGCCAATACACGTGATAGTACTCTCAGCTCCTTCGCTGTATGGAGTCGGGGCAGCAATTGTACTCGTAGGATTTGCTAAAAAGTATTCAAGGAATGAGATGTTTTCACTGCTTGAATTCCCAAATAGTCTCACCTAACAGATAATAAAACTCGTTATATGTAGATGTCAGTGAAAACACAATTTAAAACTGTTTGCTAAAAAAATCCAAAATAACTTTTCCTTGTTATACATTGACTGCAAATTTAAGCAGTATACTTTCTTATATCTCCTAAAACATTATCTATTTGTTGAACTATTACCCGTAACGACAAGAACGGCTGTGTCTGTGTAGTTTCCGTGTCCTGTCAATAGAGTACAGGTAAATACACCCTTGTCACTGCAGTGAGATACTTGGTTGTCCATGGTTACATTGAGAGAGGCACTGTTGGTAGAATTTGATGCGGAAGCCCCAAAATTACTCGGTATATGCGCCTCTACATTTCCTGTAACAGGAAACGTGGCGATCGGACCACGAACGTCCGATGAAACAACCAATGAGGTCCAGTCGTCTGGTAGATTATTGACTGTACAAGCCATTTCTAAGTGTTGGTATATTACAGCTGTAACGTCTTTTATCATAATCACTGAAACGAACATAAATCAAACGAAAACAAAATCAGATAAAAGTAATACTATTTAAAATTATTAAAAGATACAGAAATGTCTAGGTAACACAAAAAGACAAAATAATCGGTGTAGATGGCATAAGCAAATCAAATAAGGAACATTTATGATGAACAATATACAAAGTTAAAAGATTTCTTATGAAGTTAATCATGTATGCTAAGTTAAATTCACTCCATATTTGAAGCGAAAACGTGTCTTCATTTTAACTAAACGTCAATGCGTCCAGATTTCCGATACCATTAAATAACAATAATTTTAATAACCTTTTCTTTTCTAGCTTTATTTAATCTTCTGAATATTTCCGTTTGATCAAACCAGAAAATGGCAACTAAAGCATAACGAGTTTACCATAATACCGACTCATCGGTATGATTAATATGGTTTGTTGGAAGCAATAGCTGTGCTTATTGCATCTAACATTTTATACATAAGTATATTAAAAATGCTTATTCAAGAATACCTCACTGAAATAATTAAAACGCATAGTCAACAGAAATAACTCAAAAAATACATTGGACTGAACTGACGCTTCATTCTGTTTCATTACCAGCTTACCTGGAGGAATGAACGTAGTACTTGTGCTGGAAGTAGTAGACGTTATTAGAGTCGTTGTGATTGGAGTGGTGGTTGTGGATGGAGTGATAGTTGTGGTTGGAGTGGTGGTTGTGGTTGGAGCAGTGGTTGTGGATGGAGGGGTTGTTGTTGGAGTGGTAGTTGTGGTTGTGGTGGTAGTTATGGTTGTGGTGGTGGATGTGGTTTGAGTAGTAATTGTGGTTGGAGTGGTAGTTGTGGTTGGAGTGGTGGTTGTGGTTGGAGTGGTAGTTGTGGTTGAAGTGGTAGTTGTGGTTGGAGTGGTGGTTGTGGTTGGAGTTGGATTTGTGGTTGGAGTTGTAGTTGTGGTTGGAGTTGTAGTTGTGGTTGGAGTGGTGGTTGTCTTTAACGTTGATGTCGTAGTTGGTCCTGGAGGGGTAGTTATTGATAAAGTTGTTCCTGTTGTTGTTATTGGTGTAGTTGTCACAATTGGTGTGTAAGTCACTACAATGACAGTGTCAACTATAAAGGCAAGGCCACCTTCATTAACGACGCCAGTTGGTGTGCCCAGCACTACGAACAGAGTTTGTGTAAACGTTGCTTCTGTTATCCCCGTCACGTCGCCAGTCACTGTTATCACAAATATGACGATGATGCTTCCTGACCTACGCATATATAACAAATAAAATGTATTCAGTAAAGAAGCTGATATGTGATCAGTTGAAAAAGAAATTCCAACTAATAACAAAACCTCAGAAGAACTTAGTATGTTAAATTTATCAGAATTTGTTTTAATGCAGTTTAAATGTTCAGTTACGTGAACTGCTTATTTTAGTCACCTGAAACTTTCCACTCTGCATGCAGGGGACATATCTCGGACTTCACTTTGGTTGCTTTTGTATATGTTTTCCATCTACAAGATTGAAACGTACAGAATATATGCCTAGTTAGCTTGCAGTGTAAATATGATAGGCGTAATTTTACAAATGGTTACAGGAAAATGTGTGTAACAAAAGATATGCCACAAATATATGTCAATAACATGTCTCAGATTGCACGTGTTCATTATGTGAACGGATACATTTCACTCGGGCCTAACACTTTATCAATTAGCTTTATGATGTTTTGAAGGGAGAACACTAACAAAAGACAGTGCATACAATCCTGAACAATGATATGAATACAAAATAGAGGGATATTTTCACTTTTGGCTTTGATTCAAGATTGTTTCTATGTATATAAAAAAGAAATTAATCATTTCGTAAAATGTTGCCTCCATCATTCTAACGGGTAATTGACATCACAAGAAAAACGTGTTTTTAAAGAATTTTAGTTCCGTGTTACTGACGCTATTTTTTCGCGCTTTCGCTGTTCGATTTAACATGGTACTGTTCCAGTGTACAACGTGGACACAAGCACTTAACAACATTACGGAATCAAGAGAAGAACCCTCAAGGAATTAATTTATTAAGAAGAAAGAACCGCTAAATTAACCTAATGACTTATACGTTATGATATATCACCCATCAGGTACCATCTAATTATTGAATATAAATGAGATATGCATACAGGTTTTTTCTTTCACGTGTATGCTATCATCAAGTATGTACTCCCGTTTCTTTTCCACATACTGTTTTAATGTTACTAAGTGTTGATAGAAACAAATTCAACAGTTATCTAAAACTGACATGTAAACCATAATTATGGGTTAATACTTATGTTATAAGTGTTGTCTATCGGAATTGAGCTCATAATTGTACAGGCTAACGTGCCTATGAACACAATTTAATTCATTAAGTCAGAAAATATAACCGGTGCTACTGTCAGGCTATACTGGTCTAGGTATAACAATTTATTTAATTGTAACAAAATATAACTAGTGTCGCCCAATGCTATACGGGATTTGGTACAACAGTTTATATAGTAAGTAACACAGAATAACTAGTGTCGCCCAAGGCTTTACGGGATGTGGTACAACAGTTTATATAGAAATTAACACAGTATAACTAGTGTCGCCGAAGACTATACGGGATTTGGTACAACAGTTTATAAGTAAGTAACACAGTATAACTAGTGTTGCCCAAGGCTTTACGGGATTTGGTACAACAGTTTATAAGTAAGTAACACAGTATAACTAGTGTCGCCGAAGACTATACGGGATTTGGTACAACAGTTTATATAGTAAGTAGCACAGTATAACTAGTGTCGCCCAAGGCTATACGGGATTTGGTACAACAGTTTATATAGTAAGTAATACAGTATAACTAGTGTCGCCCAAGGCTATACGGGATTTGATACAACAGTTTATATAGTAAGTAACACAGTATACCTAGTGTCGCCCAAGGCTTTACGGGATGTGGTACAACAGTTTATATAGAAATTAACACAGTATAACTAGTGTCGCCGAAGACTATACGGGATTTGGTACAACAGTTTATATAGTAAGTAAAACAGTATAACTAGTGTCGCCCAAGGCTATACGGGATTTGATACAACAGTTTATATAGTAAGTAACACAGTATAAATAGTGTCGCCCAAGGCTTTACGGGATTTGGTACAACAGTTTATACAGTAAGTAACAAAGTATACCTAGTGTCGCCCAAGGATATACGGGATTTGGTACAACAGTTTATATAGTAAGTAATACAGAATAACTAGTGTCGCCCAAGGCTATACGGGATTTGGTACAACAGTTTATATAGTAAGTAACACAGTATAACTAGTGTCTCCAAAGGCTATACAGGATTTGGTACAACAGTTTATATAGTAAGTAAAACAGTATAACTAGTGTCGCCCAAGGCTATACGGGATTTGGTACAACAGTTTATATAGAAAGTAACACGGTATAACTAGTGTCGTCCAAGGATATACGGGATTTGGTACAATAGTTTATATAGTAAGTAACACAGTATACCTAGTGTCGCCCAAGGCTATACAGGATTGGTACAGCAGTTTATATAGTAAGTAACAAAGTTTAACTAGTATTGCCCAAGGTGATACTGGTTCGGGTATAACAGTTTAAATAATAAGTAACAAAATATAACTATTATCTCCCAAAACTTTACTGCTTTGGGTACAACAGTTTATATAATAAGTAACACAAACATGACCGGCTTCGCACGGGGTAATACTAGTCTACGTATAGCAGTTTATATAATAACTAACAACACATAACTAGTGTCGCACCAGACTACACTGCTGTGTGTACAAGAGTTTCTATTATAAGTAACAAATGTATCCAGTGCAGCGCAAAGTTTAACTAGTCAAGGTATAAAAAGCAGAGGACAGTAGAAATGGCCTGATACTAAAAGTAAAGGGCATGTCTCAGATAAACTTTGATTGTGAAACATCCTGCACAACACACCTACATATACATGTATCTATGTTTGTGTATAAACTGCATTTTGAATATATTGAATACCTGGTTTTTTTACCCAAGGTTTGACCCCCGCAGATAGTATTTTGTTTCTTAAAACACATTTTATATTTAATATTTCCTACTCAGAAACAGAAATAGCATAAATCATTCTGGAGGATTTTTCACAATAATTACAAATGTGCCAAGTACAAATAAGACTACCTTGAAAGTTTGGTTTTGTTGTGAAGACACAGCTTTGTAAATGGCCAAAACTATAGTCTCAAACCAAAGTCAATATTTTTTCTAACAAATTATGAAGCCCACATGTTCCACTTCATCATGTATATGGCAATTTTAGTGCTGATTATTTTTTTATCAATTTTGATACATAAAATTTTACAAGGGTTATTTATTGTACAAAAATATCAACCATGGCCACCGTACTCTACTGTAAACTACTATCATAACACTTCAGTAGTCATACGTTGCAAATTGACATTTGGCGCCAAATATTTCAGTTACAACTAGCAATTTGATTTGAAACAAGACATAATTATACAAATTTACAGCGAGTGTTAAAATCTTGAAGATATAAGTTATAATTTGTCATGTTGATTTTGTACATATGTTACACAAAGTCTATATTCGATTAACGAATAGTGTTTTGTGTCTTTTCCGTCAATTATACATTCGTCAGACATTCAATACAAAAAGGAATATTCCAATTACCACGAGTCGTATGGTCACTCTGCAGCAAAACATATCAAAATATATACAAACGTGCTGTAATATATATACTAGTATAAATATGGCTTTCAGGGTGGGAATTGAGTGTTGAGGTAACACATTTGCACAATTTTAAATAAGGCACGTTTAATATGAACTATTTTAATGTACGGCTATATTACCGAAGAACAGAAACAATATAATTTTGATATGATTGGCAATGTCATGTTCAGTAATAAAAAATATGGAGATGTATTTTTAATATCTTACCGATGTACAGACATCTTTCGCTAGGGCCTTAAATTCATCTGAATCATTTTGGTGCAGTCCGGCAGTAAATGTTTCATTCAAAGTGATCTGGAGCTTTGCTTCACCTGGTAAAAATATGAACAAACCTCTAGCATTCCGCAACATCAGGATAAACTACATATATATTACATAACAACATTTATCAGAGTGATCCATATAGTCTACTCAACTTACATTTTAATTGAAATTCCTTCTAAATTATGCCGTCATTATTCTTTTCAAAGGATTTTCATAAATGAATACAATTTTGATACTATAAATATACACGTATTCGAGGTCATAAAGAGGGACTGAACGAAAGAATACTTCAATGTCAACATCACATCAAGTCCTCTTGTATATCTCACCTCGAGTAATTATTTTGTTGTAGTGGACGTATATGATTAAAGATAACAAAACGAATTTATAATCATTTTTTTTCACTTAAGCTGTGTCCATATTTCGTAAACAATATGTTACCTGCAATTGCCCCAGCCGACGACATATTCGTTGCCGCAGTAGTTATGGAAGGTGTAGTTGTGGTTTCGTTGTCTTTTGTAGTGGTAGTTGAGGTGAGTGGGGTTGTTGTGGAGGGTGTGATTGTCGTTGTGGGATTGGTCGTTGTCGAGGGCGTGGACGTTGTTGTGGAAGTGGTCGTTATGTTTGATGTAGGTGTCGTTATGGAAGTGGTCGATGTGGAGGGCGTGGTTGTCGTTGTGGGAGTGGTCGTTGTGGAGGGCGTGGTTGTCGTTGTAGGAGTGGTCGATGTGGAGGTCATTGTTGTCGTTGTGGGAGTGGTCGTTGTGGAGGGCGTGGTTGTCGTTGTGGGAGTGGTCGTTGTGGAGGGCGTGGTTGTCGTTGTGGGGGTGGTCGTCGTGGAGGGCGTTGTCGCCGTTGTGGGATTGGTCGTTGTGAAGGGCGTGGTCATTGTGGTGGGAGTGGAGGTTATGGTTGATGTCGTTGCTGTTGTGGGATTGGTCGTTGTTGAGTGCGTGGTTGTCGTTGTCGGAATGGTCGTCGTGGTTGGCGTGGTGAATATGGTGGGGGTGGTAGTTGTGGTTGGTGTGGATGTGGTTGCCGTTGTCGTTGTAGATAGTGTTGTCGTGGTTGTCGTTGTGGTGGGTGTGGTTGTTGTGGTCTGTGTTGTCTTTGTGGTGGGTGTGGTCGTTGTGGTAGGTATGGTTGTTGTGTTAGACATGATCGTTATGGAGGGCTTAGTCGTTGTGACGGGAATGGTCATTGTGGTGGGAATGTTTGGCGTAGAAGCTTTTGCTTGCTCTGTTGTCGTGGTTTGCGCTATAGTTGAGGCAGGCATTGTAGTTGTTGTCGGCTCGGTGGTCGTGGTTGGCTGGGAAGTTGTGGTAGATGGCGTTGTAGTGGACGTCGTCATTGTGTCTGGCGTAGTAGTTATTGTTGGCTCGGTCGATGTGACTTCAGTGGTTGGCAAGGTAGTTGCTGTTGTTTGCTCGGTTGCTGTGGTTTGAATGCTTGTTGTGGGTTGCGTTGTAGTTGTGATGGGCGTTGTCGACGTTGCGGGATTGGTTGTTGTGGTCGGAACGGCCGTTGAATTAGGCGGGGTCGTGTCTGGCGAAGTAGTAATAGTTAGCTCGGTCGTTGTTGTTGGTAGGGAAGTTGTGATGGTTGGTGTTGTGGTAGGCGTGGTTGTTGTGTTGGGCGTGGTTGTTGTATCGGGCGAGGTTGTTATTGTCGTTGTGGTGGGATCAGTCGTTGTGATCGGAGTGGTTGTTGTGGCGGGCGTGGTCGTTGTGGTTGGTGGGGTTGTCGTTGATGTGGCTGTAACTTGTCTATAGTCCAACACTTTGATGCTGTCTACATCAATTGTTAGGGTGCCACTCGTTGCAAATCCAGTGCCGGTATCCAGATATGCGGTAATGATCACCTTAAACGTATCGTTAGTTATGTCTGTCACGTCTCCAGTCACCGTTATCACAAACACCACGATTATACTCCCATTTCTACGTAAAATGTGGAAACAAAATATGAATTGCTAATAAAAGCATGTCATTTAATTGCAATATGAAAATAAATGTATCCCTCTTCTGTAATTAAATTTGTTCATTCCCTCTAATAGAGAATCTGATCCCTACCATAAAAAACTGGTATAAGATAGGACCTGGTTAGTGTAAGTCATAATGTATATGATGTGTTTTACTTAGTGTTGATGATGTGATATACGTGTAACAAACAAGCCGATGATTTATTAAAATGTATACATTTTGTCGTAATAATGACAATATAACAGTGTTGTATATTGATAACCCAGTTGATTTTTTAAATTAAGTATCATTTAATTAAAAATTGTCACTAATCAATTTATATCACATCCACATTGCGAGTCGGTTTTTTCACAAATGCATTTATTCTTGTAACATAATACAGATCGGTTACTAGGTGCAACCGATTTATACACAATTAGTTAGTACTTTTGCGCCAGGTTAAACTAAATACAATTATGTGCATGATAATTTAGATTTAACGTAAATACCTTTACATATTAATTTACCTGAGTTCCTTAACTTCACAGACAGGTTTCATATCCTTAACTGAACTGTTGTTGCTTTCGTATATATCAACCATCTACAAAAGAAGACAAGTTATGAAATATTATTGCGTGAATAAACGGTAAAATTTATTCAGATTTAGAGTGTTTATGTATAGGTCAGTTAATGTTTTAATAAAAGATTGATCCGGCTTACATTTTGTCGAAAGCAAATACATTTTGTTCTTAAAGTAATTCGAGCGACCTTGACCTTAAGAGTAAGACAATGAAACTGATATTTCCTTGACGTATTATCGTACCTCAAAATCACATGAAGTTGTATTAAAAACCGTTTAGTCGATAGAATGGTGAGAAAGAGTTCCAGAGATATACGTACGTAGTTCGCACAACTGAACGCGACATTTACACTGTTTTCTTGACTTATTAAGAACATACTCTATCAGTGTTGCACTCTTCCAGCAACATAGCAATTTGTAATCTAGTAAACATCATAAAATGTTTCGGGAGAAAATGTTAATTACAAATAACTAAGGCTTTCCCAATAAAGTGGTTGTAATCATAACATTAATAATGAATTACGCTATGGCAGATGCTTTTTATGAAATAGTCCTCTTAATTTTTATTAGTGCTATGGATTGTTCATAACACGTTCTTACCTCTTTGCAGAAATCATCTTCAAATGCTGTTCTGTTAGGTGAACTGGCGTTCTCCAGTTCAGGTGTCAGTGTGCCGTTTAACGTCAACTGTACCGTGGCCTCACCTCAATTAAATATAAACACATTCTCTACAGCGTTGTATAATAGATATTGTAGTAACTAATGTTTTCTTTCCTGAACAGACAAACAGTATTATCGTTCATATACTGTTTGAGTTGTTCATGAAGTGTAGAGTAATGTGTCATAGCGTCAATTGTGACTTCAAAAAACAAAAAACTTATTTTTAATAACTGAAGATCGAATGAACTATAATGAATCATTTGGCAACAATGGAAAAAGATATGCAAGAGTACAATTGTAATAAGTGACAAAAAGGCAATATAATCTCCCTTAATCAATCCATGGCTTATTTAAAACTTAACTTTTCTCCGATGTCTAATCAAACGGATTTCCTTTAATCCGTTTTCAATCAAGTAATAAAATATATGGTATGAATAATACAAATCACATTAGCAAACACGATGCGGAAACAAGTATTGTGTACTTATATAAATCCTTCTCATCTTTCTAACAAACTAGTGGCCTTATAGATTACTAATAATTAAGCATTAGGTACATCTAATCAAAGGAAGAAAAGAAAAATATGTGGTAAGGGCCGCGTTACGAACGATCAATTGATATTCCAAGAAATTGTAAATATTTCTTTCATTATGACAGCATTTGGGAGGTTTTCACTATTTCGTTTTATAAAGATATCAATACTTAAATTCCTTAACCAAAACATGACAAGACTGGACAATAAAGTTTTAAACTTTCTCGAATATTTCTATATTTTGAGCTGTTGAGAGGATAGATTCTCCATAAAGCAATACATTAGTGGAGAGTTGGTAAATAAATCGATCAAGCGTAGTTGTCTCCCCTGGATGATTTATCGTACATTGATAGCTAACATCACGGGAAAACTAGAACTTCAACTCTGTTATTGAATGTTGCGTTAAAGTACCCGAATAGCCTTATTGATATATGAAATTATAAGACGTCTTAGCGGTAAGCAATATCTTAATTAATTTTACAAGGTCTCGATCGTTGTTCTATAATTAAATTACTTACCTCCGATAGGTTTTGCTTCTTGTGCTACAAGACAAAGAGAGCGGAAACGTAAGTGTTAATCACGTTTGATAAACTTAATTATTCTCACTAAATGTACAAGCGCGATACACAAAACATAACAGGGAATAAATGAAACGTTTTTTACCCCTTTCTGATTTAAATATAATGGTTTATTTGTTCTTTAGTGGATTATTTGTTTACATCAAGTCATACGTGATTTTCAAAACAAATGTGTATTATTGTCGCGACAAATACCGCTAACGAAACTTCAGTTCATTTTTACTAGAAAGAAGAACCTGAATTAATGTTGGTTTCAGCACCGAATCGGTATTTAACGTCAGCGTTGCCGATGGACGCACTAGAATCTACACACACTGTAATAAGTATTTAGTCAACAGAGTCTTAACCGTCGTGTTGGTTGCTTAGACTCTTTTTTAAAAATCCAGCATTATTTAGGGAGTGGTCGATGTTTCAGTAACTAGGGACACTGGCCATAGAAGGACAGACCTGGAGATGATACTGTGACATGAGACATTGGAGTTTAAATACAAGTACCATAAACAATGTTACCTGGATCTTGCTTTAGAACCACAAAGACAACCGTTATGGCCACGCCCACACAAGCTAGAAGACTGAGGATGAGGAGAATCAGTGGTAATCTGTGAACATTGAAAGGTTTACGATGCTCGGTGTCTTTCTTCGCTCTTGGTTCGTAGTTGTCCGAGTGCTTGTAACCAAAGGCGCTGGTCCCATGTCCAAAACTTGATCGTATTGGGACCTGTCATTAAAATAAAAACAAAATGAATTCGCCCTTCAAAACATAAATTTCATATTTCAAATTGTCTAACCTATAAATGGAACAATCGGAGAGGTGCATAAAAACACTTCATTTTATTAATTTTAAAATAAGACTAGTATTAAAGCATGATTTTATCAGCCAACAGCAAAGTGTGACAGCATGATCTAAGGAATTATAGGACATTTAATGATGATATAAATACAACAAATATATAAACATTCACGACATCCATAAGTAATGATTATAATCAAAGTACATCTAGTTCAGTTTTCCTATATATGAACCATGGTGGTACGCAGTCATCGGTAACTAAAGACATCGCAAAAATGCTAGCGTAACTGTAGGCATCTACCATGTACGCTCACTGTTGTATCAGGTATGATGGCTCAATACTTGCATTACAATTGTTTCAAGTCGTGTTTGATATATTAGGTTAAATAATTACATGTATATAAAGTTAAATAAATTTTACATTATGAGGTTACACAACGAGTGGTTGTTGAATATGGTATTTATTTCACTCTCGTTAGTAAATTTTCAAAAGTTACTAAAGACACGAGCTTTAGCGAGTGTCTTTCTGTAACTTTTGAAAATTAACTAACGAGACTGAAATGAATACCATACTCAACAACCTAGAGTCGTGTGATCTGTTTCTACCACAATCTCATGAACATACACACATGTGTTTGTTGACAAGGCTGGCGTAGTGATATGACCCATATGTAAAAAGTCACTCATTAATATTCAAAAATGACTTCTTTTTTTTACAAATTTAATTATTGTCAAAATTAATGTTTCGGCAAAAACTTCGTGAAAAAATAAAATAGATAAATAACTTTAAATATTGAGAGTAGCTGTATTGCATTAATTTATATAAATTAACCACGGACTATATGTAGACGAACTTATCGCTGTCAATATCCAAAACCATAGGCCTACGTTTCTTCGGGACGGTTCTATGGTTGACGTTTATAGTGAAAGTTCAGCCATAGTCAGACCGTCTAAATAGCGATAGCGGGACGTTTGGAGAACGAAATATTTCCCGACACTGTGACAGATCTTGTTTTGGTTTCACGACCTGGACACGCGACGGTGTGACGTCGAAACGATATCGAGCGTCTGTAGCAATTTTGCCTGGAACTAGATGTCAAATCTTAAAGTATCATCTTTTAATATTGCCTTAATAACTCCCCTTTTCGCATAACCTCACAAAGTAACCAACATTTGTCGGATGTTAACAGCCGACGACGTAAACAAAACAGCAGGTGGCAAAACGCACGTGGAAAAAGTCTTACCGGTCAAAGTTCATCTTCTCGACCTATCAAAACTCTTGAAGGTCATACCAAGTGAGGCATATAACTCATATTTATCTAACAGTCTGCGTGTTTATACAATGATCTGAGAGTGGAATAACACAGCGTATTGTGGTAGAAATGTAGATACATTTGTTTAACATACTGAGTCTTAAAACCAGATAATCACTGTGTTCTGCATGTAGCTTACAAGTTACGCAGCCTACGTACACATGGCAGATTCACCTTTGGATAGTTTACAACAATGCAATGAATTGCTGATTGGCATTTTTCTGAAATACAATATTCGTTCCCTTGATCTCAGACATATGTCAAATTACAAAAATCTATGCATGCAATTTCAGTTAATTAGTGAAAAAATATAGATTAAAACAACTTTAAATATGGTATTGAGAATAATGAAAATGTTTTTTTCTGTGACACAGGCTCGAACTTTAGATTAAAAGCTGATCAAGCAAGCCGTTTCAATGTCTTAGCTACAGATTTCGTTGATATGACTTTAAACATTAAAATGATGAACCGGAAAGCGAAATAATGGCATTTTTTGTGATGTACTTTGCTCTGTGACGTCATTGGAATTGCTTGGACCATACTGACATAGCAATAACAGTAAACAACCTCTATTATCGTCAAAAGTTATTATCACAGTAGTGAGTGGTATGCTATTGTTACAGGATAACAAACGGATTGTTTATGTTATGCTTTGTGCAGTCTGATGCAGAAGAGAACTGATATAGGTGTAGCCTGTTGTTAGATAAAATGTGTTGAAATGAAATGACATCTGATGCAGCCCGTATTCTGTTCGTTCTAAACGGGATGTGAAACAGAAAAAAGCATTGCATTGTGAAATGGATGAGTGAATACATACAAAGAGAATATCAACATCCTGCTTATCAAATACATGAAAATATTTTTAAATGAGTCAACAACGAAACACAAGTATGTTTACGCCCTTTATTTTAAACATCAGTTACGCTATACGTTTATAAAAAATACCAAAGGAAAAACCTACGCGGAAGCAGCAACAAATGCCTCAGACAAACAAATATGTTACACCCACAGTAGTGTATGTCACATGGGCTAAATGTGGTAAGCAGGGAACAAATTTATGAAACGGTTTTCATGCTCAAAACTTGGATTCTGTGTTCAAGTCAAATTCTTGGTCTGGTGATAAATGCTATTTTACTTAATATTTGATCTATGACTTGGTTAAATTATGGAGAGACTTCAAGTTGAACACCGTTTCAATTGCTAAACAAGGCATTTTTACCGTTTAACATGATATAGGCGAGTAACAAGAAAGCTCGGTCGAGCATAAAATCGATGCTTTGGTATGAAACGATTTTATGCCCCGAACCTCATATCGAGAGGTAAATTATAGTTTTGATTAGCTGTGTTTCGGACTTCTTTTGGTTGATTGCGCAAAGATTGCTACATTTATGTTTTCAAATATGTACATGTTAAACTTGGTATGAGTTGATGACACTTAGTTATATTGTTGCTTCGAATTCCTTGATAAATATTATTGCATACAAAAATAATGTTTTCCAATAAAATATTACGGGAACAGATTAAGTCATGCCTTGTTAATAATGACTTGCGTTCAGTAATGAGACTATCTTATTTATTCAGTTTACACTGGCACAGTATTTCTTGAAAGTCAGCAATAATCTTTTTTAAACATTTATCTTTACAGTTCTCACATTTTTTAAATACTGTCAGTGAAAATCTTTATAAGACAAAATAGACATTACAATTTCCAAATGTAAATAGTTAAAACTTGATTATTACAAAAATATGTATAAAAAACACGATAGTTTGAGTGGACATAATTCAATGATGACAAATACGAATAATACACGAAATAAATATGACACCTCTCAGTACGAATAAGTCAATAGGAAAGAAAAAAGGAAATTTGTATTCTGATCTGTAGCCGTACTCGCCAGCTAATTGCATTTACCACTGGTTTCTCGTTATTGGTCTGTACAAATATAAACTTTAGACTTACACACATGTCAGAATTTCATCGCTTGCAAAGCCAATTTCTTAACAATTATACACACACGCTTTTCATTCTCTTAGGTTATAAATACAACACCAAGTAATACCACTCGAAGCCAAATACACAGGGGCACACGGTGGCGCAACGGCCTATATATAAAGCACAACCACAGCTACCAACTCGGTATCCGTAACGGCTTACCGATTCGATCACACTGGGTCACATGGTAGTCGTAACAGCCAATCAACACAGTTCAGTCATACCTGGTCATACGGTTACCGTAACGATTTATCGAAACAATACAATCACACTTGGCACACCGTGGCTATAACGACCTATCAACACAATACATTCACACTGGGCACACAGTGGCTGTAACGACCTATCAACACAATGTAATCGCACCGGTTCACACGGTAGCCGTAACTGTATATAAACACTATGCAATCACACTGGGCCTAACGATATCCCTAACTGCCTATCAACACTATACAATCACACCAGGCTACACGGTAGTCCCAGCGGCTTATCAACATAATGCAATCAGACCGGGTCACACGGTGGCCGTAACGACTATCAACACAAGACCATCAAACCGGGCCACACGGTAACCGTAACGGCCTATCAATACCATAAAATCACAACAGGGCCCTTTGTAGTCGTATTGGCCGATCAACACAATATATTATCACACTGGGCCACACGGTAGCCGTAATGACCAATCAACACATTGTACCGCACCTAGGACAGAATTGTTGCATCTGATTGGTTAAAATCGGATCACATGGTGACCCCATATGAGACTATATGGGGTCAGTGAATTTTCTTAGGGGGCAATATGGGGGCAATATGACGGCCCTTGTCTGTCGCTTCGAAATTAAAACAAATCAGGTCTAAACTACGCCTTCCCAAATATCCCCGAACAAACACTTTCATGTGTTATGTATTCGTACAGATTCGTCCTTTATCTTTAACAGTTCAAACGTTATAGGCAGACACTTGAGCAGGACAAAATATGTCCCATGCGTATCAAAAGGTCCTCGGTGCGATAATTTCTTTATATTGTTTGTTTCTGACCTACTATGGAACCATAGTAGGTCAGTAACAAACCATATAACTAATAATATCACACATGGCATCACGGTAGTCGTAACAAGTCAGGCTATCATCGCAATACAATCAAACTTGGACACACGGTAGCCGTAACGGTCTATCAACACAATACAAACACTAAACTGTCACAACAGGTCAAACGGTGGTGACAGTTGTAGCGTGTGCACGTGAATTATGGTCATTGGTTAAATCTTTGGTTCTACTTGGTAGATATATGTATATCGGCCATTTTGTACATAAACACCCCGCGGAAACGCGTCCTGGCTTATATCCTTACTGACGCTGGGCCACAATGTAGTCCAGTCAATGACAAAATCGGGGCATACGTTAAAACCTAAAATGTAGCCCTGCATTGTTAATTGTGCACTATGTTCAAACGCTTGAACAACCCAGCCCAGCAAAACATTTAGTTCCCGCATGGCCGCATTGGTTGTGTGTTAAATGGGATATACACAGTATCGACAAAAAGTAGATAAATAGTAGAAACAAATTTTTTACAATAAAAATGATTAAGAAATTACTCCACATTCAACCACGTTTGCGATTTC